GGGGGCCGTCTATTCAAACTGCCAGCAAGTCCTTCCTTACAGTATTTGTTGAGATTCCAGGTAGTGCCATATTGTATTTATGTACTTTCTATGTATATATATATATGTATATATTATATGTGTTGATGTACATGTAAACAACATCATGTAGCAAACGGCAACAAAACTTCTGTGCTGATGGTGCCACCCTTTTTGCTCGCGCCTTCAGAATGTCAGCCCATCTCCAAAGTTCTTTTGGATTGGTCGCCCTAAATCCAGGTTCATTTGAAAATGCATCAGCCAATTCTGATGGCCTTGCTGTTCAAAAGCAGCATGGCCGCCAATGTAGGGAGTCATGTAGCTCTTCCACATGCTGGGAGGATGTTCCTCGTTGTCCTTCAGCCTCAGGGCCACGGGCAAGGTAGTATCATCTGCTCTTGATGGCAGCTCATCATCTTCGCCAAAGACCACATGCCACATGAATTCCAAAAAGAAGCAATGTGACAACCGTTGCCCAGCATACTTCTCATAGGATGGACCAATTCGTTGGCATGTATCTGCCACAGTCCCATCAACCAGCTGCAACATTCTGACATATTCGACCAACGGTCGTGCCCGAATCCTCCGCTTGGATACCGCAAACTGAGAGCAGCAGTATGTAAAAAGGCGATGTTGGGATTCGCGATTAAAAGCACGCTGATAAATATCATCCTGACATGGGTTGTATGTTGCCACCAATCGCGGAGCGCCCAAATGGACAAAGTCCAACTTACTGAAGGTCCCCAGCGCGATTCCCCTCAGAACAAGGTTCAAAAGCCCAAATGGCGTATGGTCAGAAGGGTCTCCGTGCAAGAAAAGGGTTAGGTCAGCAAGGTTGTCGAAATGATGCACCACATGGCTAAGGTATGCTGTGCATTCATCCCGCCTCGCTGACAAACCTGTGGCAGGATCTGCCATGTCATCTAACCTTGTGTAAACCAGCTGCACATTCGAAGGCAAAAAAGCTGACACTTGTTGCACTACAGATTCGTCGCCACCACACTTCTCATAGATAAAAATACGTGTGCGGTACGGCATGGTCTGAAGAAGAGAGCTGTTGCCCAACCATGACAAATCCTCTCGGCAATGTGGCAGTACAATGTCTGTGGACAATTTCTGGCGACCACCTGCATCCTTCAGTCACACGGGCGGCACAAAACTCCAAGACATCTGGGAGTCTGGGAGGTTAGAAGAAAACACTAAAAACATGAAACGGATCATATTGACAGGACTCCATCCATGCCAACGTCGACTCGACCCGGTCCAGGGCTGTTTGGTAAGGCCATGCTTTCCTCACGCCCTCAGCATGAACTCCAGCCTTAGTTTCACCACTGTTACAACCCGCACAAGTTATATACAAACCTTCGAATAGTTTCTGCTCTCAGGGCACTCGCCCAAAGTCTTCCCGTCATTCCAAACCCAAACAGGGAAACATCAAGCAATCTGAATTTGTGTGACATAAACTTAGCCAAAAAACTATTTCTGGAGACTCCATCATGCCCTGTGCCCTGGCCACCAACTCCATAGACTCACTCAAGTCGTGGGTGTAGAGCCGTGACTCCGCCAGAAGCAGGTGCGCCAAAACCTCTTGACAGATTGCTGGAGAAAAAAACATGCAAGTCATTCCAAATCCATCCAGATGTATGGAAAGAAACAAGATGGAACCCACGAACCCGAATGGAAACACGATCGAAAAACTACATATGTCCAAATGGCACTCTTGTAGGACACTCTTGTGGGACACTCTTCTGGGACACTCTTGTAGGACACTCTTGTAGGACACTCTTGTGGGTCACTCTTGT